TCGCAAAACTCCTCTCCCCGCCGCTTATTCGCAACCCTTTCTCTCCTTCCGCCCCGGGTTCCCTTCGATCTTCGTACCCGTCCCCTCGTGCCTCATGGTGGACAACTGTTGCTGGTACCGCATCCATTATTACAGCATTACGATTTGCCGCAGCACCACGTGCACCGCGCTTATGCATATATGCAGACCTCTCGTGCGCTCTTCCGCGCGTGTACACCGTGTTCCGAATGTATGTACACATGTTAAAAACTTAAATACACACAACGAAGAAAGAATTTCCTTGTGGTTACGCGTGTATCGAGTAGCGGCAAGTAAAAGAGCGAGAGAGAGTTGTATCGTCTCTTCGTAAACTTCTTTATCGATGATAAGGAGCGGTGAGAATAAATCAGAGAGAAATTCTTTGAAATAATACGACGCTATTATTTCCTGCTTGTTGTGAATTTTTTCTTTTTCCTTTTCTTTTTTTTGGAGGGGATGTTTAGTTAGAGGTTTCGAAGTGATGGATATTTTCTATTATCTATAACAGAAATGATAGAAATTTTGAGCGTAACGTGTGTATTTTTATATATACGCAACTCGTAGCTGCTCGTAGATGGTTAATTTATAGTTATATATATATATATACATGTAGTTGTTTCGAGACACACCTGCCGTCTGCGATTTCATTTATTTAGAATACACGTGAATACCGGTAAAGAGCGTTTCGCTAAATAAACGAGTAAATAAATAAATTTTACATGCTCTCCTACTGGATTATCTCGGGTATTTCCTCGCTACAAACGCCGTGGAGGAATTATAAAAACCTCTTGAAGATGCATCGCGGTATTTAAAAAAAAAAAAGGAACGCGAATAAATGAAACAATTTCGTTGTTGTTGAAATAATAATAAAATATTTCGTCTAAAGCTCGAATCGAATCTCGAAACGAGCGAGTAAATAAAACATTCTATTAATATCGTTCGATATTAGTATATTATACAATCTTTATCAAACAAATTCAAATTCGACATCTCTGTAATTTTTTTCCTTCTCAACGTACAATATCAATAAATTTCACCAAGATAGAAATTTTCACCATATCCCCCCGCTTTTACGATCCTTAATTTACCTTACCTTAAAATCGGACAGATCCTCGCACCAACACCTGCCCTGTAATTTGCAACAAACTTTTCCTATAATAACCGTTCAATCCTCGACCACCTAACAGAAATCTTCGATTCATTCGTTCGATAACTCGGCGCACCGTTGACGCACCTTTACGCCTTACGCGTTTCGGCATCGTCTCGCATCCTTTGGCTATCGCGATGCACATGCCACGATACGCACGGCTTCATCGCTCCCCTTATCGTCTTATCGTCATCTTCCATCGTGTCTCTCTCTCTCTCTCTCTCTTTTTTTCTCTCCATAAGAGCGCGCGCCAACACTTTTGTCAGCCGGCGCAATGACAAACGCGGCCGCATCGTCAGGTGGCCTTACATTTTATATATATATAT